TATTGTTTCTGAAGTATTTTAACGGCCGTCTATAACACATCTGTGCAACATGTGATGGAACAAACTCCATTTTCTAAAATTTTATAACTCTACCAAAGCTTTTAGCTTTACTTATCGCTATAGAAATATAAACAAAGCGTAGCGCCGTTAACGTAGTTAGAAACATGCTAATTGAACTTAACGCGTGTTAGAGAGTGACAGAGAATAACCCACGTGAGTTACGTTAACAATAGATTACAAAAACCATAGTACCTGGAAGGTAGAGGTGCTTGGGTTTCCCGCCCCCGCGCCTGCGCACCGTTGTCTCAGGCCAGTCTATATCAAAACCTTCTTCGAGTCGATCGTACAAACTAGAGACACGTTCCTGTTTTGTGATACGAAACTAGTTATTATATAAATAGTCGTTAATGTGATTTGTGCGTCGCGTTAGTGTATCTCAAATAGAGAATTGATGCAACGCGACAGTTGCGCTTCGAAACTTGTAGTTCCAACACCTGTTATATTTACCTGACGTGTTTGTTCGCACAACTGTTGTTTTTCCGCCGAAATGCTTTAATTTGTACGTAGCGTACCAAGTAATAAAATAGGATGTGTATCTGATAGTACGTGCGTAGCCAAGTGTCAGGAGAACACACCAAGTCGAGTGGAATTCAAATGAAATGTTTCAATAGTGGCTACTACGTGGTTCGCTTACTTATTGCCATATACGTTGCTTGCAGACACAATAGCAATGTACGTTTGCCTTATTCAGCTATTGTCTTCGAATGAATCCGAATTGATCGAATCGAAAATTTACGACTGATCAGATCAGCGATGCGGACTAGTCAGTGAAATGATAAAGTTTCGGTATAAGCGTAAGGAATCGAACGATGGAGCCGGGACGAAGAATGGAGCGGCGATACAGAAGAAGATTGAGGGCCTGTGGGATAGGGAGCTGTTGCCGCCCAAGGATCTGCTGACCAACTCGGTGGCCGGCGTGAGGAATAACACACTTCCACGCTCACGACCGCCATCGGCGCAACCATGGAGGGAAACCGTCGAACAAACGCCTTTAGTCAGTCAAACGACGTTGACTCTTTTTCGAGTAAGTTTCAGAAGCAAAATTCTTTTATTATATTTTAAATGTTTTAAACAATCAAATGTAAAAATACAATAATGTAAGTCTATGCATAATTCAACGAAATTAGAATGTTGGATAATAAAAGATCCACGTGGTCACTTCGGTACCAATGTATTTATAAATCCAGTTAGAGTTATTTTACATCATATTCAAGGACAAATACGTGACCTTTAGTTACTTACATACTTATTCATGTGCATAATTTGATACAACTTAAATTTGATTCACAAGAATCGATTTGTATACGAATCGTTCTCTTACGGTTAAAAGACATCAACGCTGTAATTTATTTGCACAAATTAGCTCACGACTTGTAAAACATAATTAATTCTTACATTTATTTGTATGCAAAGCCAATGGAAATAATTTCATTGATAAAATCGTATTATTATGAACTGATGAATTGGTAAATGTGATTTGTGGATGCAGATTAACTTATTTCCTCGAATTTGTTTAGCCTGACACCTTAAAGGAAAGAAATAAATTTACAGGTAAAAATAACAGTTACCAAGCCGGTTGCTACGTTTTGTGATGCATGCTTTGTCGCTGACCCCCCTAAAGGCTATTGTCAAAGACTCCAAAGGCAATTTGTACAAAGAATACTTAACACTGCTGCTTAAGTATGTATGCGCAAACCTCCGGTACAAGTCGCGCCTTGAATGTCTATTGTCTCGTAGGAAAATATCGTGACTACGCCGATGTTAAATAAGCTCTTTAAATATTTTATTATTCATATTCGAACACGCGTCACGCATTATATTATCTAGTGATTGTTAAATATTAATCAGATGAATTGTAAATGGATGTAGCTTGCAATAATTTGAACTTTATGCTCTCAAAGCTTTACTTCGAGTAATTTTCCTTTTTAGGCAGAGATCAGAGATCCAGACAGCTTCCTTTTTGTTTCTCAAATAAATCAATTTCAGATTTTCCTAATTCCATTTTAGAAAATTATTATTGTGTGTAAAATTATTATCATAGAGTCTTAACAAATAGACACGATGTTGCATAAAGTGTAACTTGCTAACTATATAAACTACGAACAATTTCAAACTTTCTTTATTATAAACTCTCTTTTACCTTTAGGTTAGGTACAGACCACTTCTTTTTTAATCTTTCTCAGACTGAGCTTTCAATATCTGATTTCTCTAATTCCAATTTTAACAAATTAGTATTGAAAATAAATAATTATTAAAATCTATCCACAATACGGCAAAAAAGTTGTAATGACTAATATGGCCACTATCCAAGTTATTGGTACTAGGCAATCAGAAATTGCAAGAAACATAGGGTCACGTTATAGATACGGCGGGCTGCGTCTATGGGAGCGTTGGCTACACCATTCCCACACAACAATGGTTGACTATATTCAGTCTCGCTCTCACACCACCCCCGTTTTGCTTGTTCCACAAATGTCATCTTATGTTTGATGCATTAGTTCCGTGTTTATCGTCGTACAACGTCGTTGCACTTATTGATAAGAAGTTGGGTAATGGTGGCAGTGCAGGTCATGTGTCAATCTTCAGAAATTTAATTTATATGATATTAGAAAAACATTTATAGTCTTCCACAAATTGTTATAATAAAGACCTGTTCGGTTTCTCTTTTCAATATATTTTTAAAAGTTTATTTAGACTTGTTTTCTTTCGTACAATCCATTAAAGAATACTATGTTTTAAATCTTTGACTCCATTTTTATATCTGTGTGATACACAAAAATAGCGACATAGTTATTTTAGGCAGCCTTCATGCAGTTATTTAACATGCAATATAAACGGATATACTTTATAGGTAGCCAATTTATTCCATATTTTATTGATAATATTAACCACCGTAATTAGGGCCATCCTTGTTATCAGAAATGTCTTCACTTTAACTTTTTCTATTATTACCTACTGTAACTAAATATGATCAGCAAAAAATCTAATTTTGTTAACGGTTTCATTAAAAAAAAGTTGACTTTACTCAAAAATTACATCTAATAAAATACTAATAGCAATTTTCACTTATTAGACGTAGATAAAATAATTAGACAATTTTTTTTTACTATTAAGTCATATTTTATGTGTCTATAGATTTTACCGGTCCACTTACGGTAGTAAAATATACAGTCTCCGCCATTAGATATGAAAAAGAAATGGTGACGGTCAACTTTAAAACCTGCCTGTTTTACGAAGCGGATTACGAAATACGAGACAGCGTATTCGTTTGTACCCACATCTTACGATGATCTCGGCTGGGTCATGGCGTGTTTGTGACCTATTCGTGCTATACTGGTTTTAGTCCCTGTCATGTTTCACATCACTCAATACGAAGCTTACGGCATGAATGTTAAGACTCGGAATCACTCAGCAATATTTACGCTCGGCACTTTCTTCGGCGGCCTGTTATTAAAGATTCTGGTTTTTTTCCGTTCAAAAACCTTTCGCAGAAATTAAATTATAACGTTTTTCGTTCCAACCCCACTGTTTAACATAATATACTTATAAGTTGATTTCGTACTAAAAAGGAAGTAACGGTATCTTATATTTGTTTACATGAATACTTTTAATTATTATTTATTGCTACATGATATTTTAAAAGATCACTAAAATTGTGAAATATAAATGGATTAATAGCTACTCTTAATAATATAATAAAATTATAATTAGACAATGTGTATATATTGGAGATATTAAATATCTAAATAAAAGCAATAGAAGTCAAAACAATAATTATTAAAAAAATTTGTCCGTTTGTACGTTTGTATCAGCATCACGCAAAATACTACATCAAATTAAACGAAATTTTCGCAGTTGTATTCCTGAAAGTTTAATATCAAATCTGGTATGTTTTATCTTAATGCATCATCATCAAAAATAGCCTATTTTATTGAGTTTCTCTACTTCTGAAACCCACGCGTGCGAGGTAGCGAGCAAAATGCCAATACAACAGTAATACATAAATATTTTTTAATGTATTTCTAATTCTTTATTTAAAATTAAATTTATTTTTTATTAGTGGCCCCATTTTTTACGTCAACTTGCGTGTATTTTATACGAAAGATTGCTGCTGTTGGTAATGGCTGGAAAGAAACCTTATAGTATATTAGAAAAAAGAAAAGTTTTTTACTTATTATTCTTGTTTTTTAAGGCTTGTGTGTTATATAGCGATAAATAAAATATGTAAATAAAAAAAAACACACGCACTAGTGGAAATATAGTAGTGGTATCATTTTAGAATACAACGTCTGTTGTTATTTACATTGCCAAGTTTTTTAAACTTTTGTTTTGTTTTAATACAAGCCATTAACATTCCACTACTGGGCACTGGCCGCTCTCCATAAAAGCAATACTTACTGTTATTATGCTACTCAGGCAGCTTAATATTAATATTTATTTCGAGTTTTCTTCCTTTGCACTGGTTAAGTGCGCTCTAATGTGTTAAAAAGTCCACCTTTGACGAATAATAATAAGATTTTCTTAACATAACCCGCAGAGTTTAATAGCCCTCTCGCGCTACGGGGATAATATTAACGGACTAGTACATTTAAATCGGTAAATTATACAAAGCAAATCCTATTATGATTATCCTCTTTTGTTTTCTCTAGTCGCCTTCTTGGAGATAAAAGTGGTGACTTGTTGAAGGAATTGTTAGTAATGTAGACCTAATAGTCGAATTGCTAGTAATATACCTTATCAGGTCGACCTTCAGGCTGTTCCCTATAGGAACCATCTTATTTAATTGACTATCTGACTTGTTCTATCCTCAATTATCATCTCTTGTAGTGTCACGCCTGCGTACACTGATAGCGCAGGCAGGGTTACTATTCCATTTTTATCTATTAAAAAATTTGTTGTGTTACTCACACAGTTATTAAATTAATGTTTTTCTCCATCAGGAACTATTCACGCAACTACAATGGTCAGCAGAGCGCGCCCCAGCCGCCGATGCCTTGCGACGTGCTCTGGGTGGCGGCGGCGCCCGTTTCCAGCTGGGCTGCATGGCGGACGCCAGCGAATGTTTCGAGCATCTATTGCTGAGAGTCCACGCTCACGTGGCCACTACAGCCGCGGACAGGAGGGACGATGACTCGTGCCGAGCCGCGCACTGTGTGCCGCATAGGAAGTTCGCGATGATGCTCATCGAACAGTCCGTCTGCGGGTCATGTAACGCCACATCGAAGCCATTGCGATTTACACAGGTATATTATATAAGATTATATTCTAAAATAATTCTTTCCCGTAATTTTGTCATAAATTAGAATAAAAACTATCATACGAGTATGTTTTAATTTTTACTTGTATACAAAAATAAAGTGTTTAAGCAACAAATATTGAAATATTTATATTATAATTATATATCCAAACCTTTATATTATATATTACATACCGATGGGGAAGAAAGGTTTTTGAATGGTGACTCCGTACGGTCAAACGCAGTGTAGGACGACCCCTCCTCTAGATGGAGTGACGGCCTCAAATACATTGCAGGAAGTCAGTGAAAGTTGAAGGAGGCCTCCCTTCAACTTATGTTCAGCAGTGGACGGATAATGGCTGAGATAATGATGATGATGATGATTACATAGTAGTATTCCCGTAATAACGATCATTTATTGGGATGGATATGCGATTTTAAGATGCCATTTTTATTCCTATCTCTAAAATTAAAATTCCATTTTGACGTCATAGCGAAATCTTTATTGAGTAGATCAATATAAACTAAATTTCTAATGTATTTGAGTAAAAATTAATATAGGTAATATTTACCTTATTAATTTTTATTATGGTTCATAAAATAATGATTTCACGAAACTATCAAATTAAAATATTAGGTGAAGATATAGGTTTAAAGAAATGGCGCATCAGAATCAACCCTATTATTTGCAAAATGTAATAAATTTAAAAAATATAATTATGTTTATAGTAAATAAATACGTTTTTTATCTTTCAGATGGTGCATTATGTATCTGCAACGGCATTGACAGCGCAAGCAGCTTTGGGAGAACACGGAGACAGCTTTGGATTGTTGTTAAAACAGGCCGGCGGCATGGGTGACATTCGAGATTGTCCGGTAAGTTAAATATTTATGTAAAAATGTACATAATGTATGTATTTTAGGGATATATTACTACATTACAGTACAATAATAGATTATTTTTATTTCGAACTGTTAGAAACAATAAGCAAATTTAGGGCCAACTGATTGAATGGGTAACCTTATGGTGAGCACTTGGTTTGTAGCATGTAATTATGTACAAATAAATCATTAAATAAATTATGGTTACCCTTCAAAGGTATACTTTATAATAAACTAAGATATGGACTTAAATTCTACTGCTAGGTTAATCTTTTACCACCACTGAGGAGTAAGATCTTATGACAGCTGATTGAAATAAACTTTTGTCTCCTGAATTAAAACGCTTTCACTGTTAAGCAAACTATTACTGTTTTTATGAACCATCGTATGTGACGAAAATTTTTTTTTTTATATTTCAGAACGCATGCGGTGCCAAAATACAAATATGCCGAACACTGAATAACCGACCCGAAATTTTGTCTATTGGCATGGTGTGGGATTCTGAGCGACCATCAGCTGAACACGTAGCAGCAGTGTATGCAGCTCTTGGAACCGAATTGCGTCCAGCTGACGCATTTCATACATGTGCGGACTGGGCATGGGCTGCGCGAGCTACACATAGACTCGTGGGACTCGTAACCTACTATGGCAAACATTACTCCACTTTCTTTTTCCATAGCAAGCTACGTCTATGGATATATTTTGATGACGCCGATGTTAAGGAAGTCGGCCCTGAATGGTCACAAGTCGTAGAAAAATGTTGCAAAGGAAGATTTCAACCTTTGCTTTTATTATATGCTGCAGTGGATGGTACTCCATGTGATACACGCCATGCTCCTAAAGATGTGGTTCCATTCCCAGCACCTGAGCCAAGACGAGCAATCACGCCAGCTCCTGATCGACAGATTTCCCTTGCACGGATCTATGGTAGAAGAGCTGTAACTCCTGGGCCTGATAACGAGAATGATTATATTAGCAGAAAAAGTGTAGAAAACATGTTGGAATGCAATCGCCATTCACAATTAGGACGCAGTATGAGCACAGGTTCAGGTTCAGATAGCTCAGGTCCCAGAGTTCGAAGAGACTCCGGCAACTGGAGCGGTGACCGTAACAGTGCCTCATCAGCATCATCATCAATGGAAAGTCCCTATATATATACCAGGGGTCGTGGACCTGGTAGTGTACCAAGTAGTCCTACACGTAAAGGGGAACTTTCCAGTGGTGGTTCGTGTGATGCTGGATATGACTCATATTCTTTGTCCTCTACGGATAGTCTACCTCTTCAACAAGGTATACGTAATATGCAGTTAGCTCAGGTACCTGATATAAAAACGAGAGGAAACTGTGAAGCTTTATGTTTAGAAGCAGATAGATTACTTGAAAAGTCTCGTCATGCAGAAGATGCAGCGGATTATGAAACAGCTGTAGTTCTATGTGATGCAGCTACCTCAAAAGCTCGAGCTGCAATGGAAGCACCATATAATAATCCACATACAATGATTGTAGCTCGGATGAAACATAACACTTGCGTAATGCGTTCACGAAGTTTGCAAAGACGTATGACTGGTAAAAGTTGGGGTACTGAAATTCCACAAATAGCCCCCGTTAGAAATACAAAAGGTGGCCTCGAAAATGCTAATATTGAAATTTATGCTACATTACCTAAGAAGAAATCTTCTTCCAAGAAATCTCAGAAATCTATTGAAGATGATATTAATAATCCACCATGCGAGCGCCCACCACGACATAAATCTCGTGAAGATGAAAAAACGAGAGAAAAACGTTCAAGAAGTGAAGATCGAGGCCGTGTGCGTAAAGAAATACCAGTAACTACCGAGAAAAAAGATGAAATAGTTACTGAAGATAAAAAAGCAAGTAAAAAGCAACATAAAATTCGTAGAAAGTTATTGATGGGTGGTTTGATAAGAAGAAAGAATCGCTCCATGCCTGATTTAACAGAAGGTGCAGATGGAAATAATGAATCTGCGAACAAAGAAAAACGAATTTCGTCAGTAGATGATGGAGAAGTCGGAAGAAGAAAAAGCGAAGATAAGGTTAATTTGAGTGGCTACTTATCTGAAGGTCATTTAGAATATTCAACAGCGAGTGGGACGAATCCCAATCTGGAAAGAAGTAAACTCATGAGGAAAAGTATACATGGCAGTGTTGGTAAAATACTTACCGCCCCAAAAGTTCCACCACCTCCACCGTTACGAACCACTTCACAACTTAGCGGGTCTAAGTTTGATACAGAAGTGATGGAGCACGGCACTCAATGCCGTTCACAGCAACCCGTATCTCGTAATGACTTTTCATATTCACAACAAGATAATGAAGAGGATGGAGGTTTCTCAGAACAGTATGGAGATGAACCGCAGTCTTTGCCTTTCCTACCTTCTTCTTATGATGGCCAGCATGGAAACTCTTATCGGATTGATGATTCACCATCCCAAAACTTTCAAATGATCGTAACTAAGGCAATGATACACCAGGAACAAAGTCCAGTTAAGAGAGAAACTATGCCGACCATTCAACCTTCGCAAAATAACATTCAAAATCTTAGCACTGCATTCAATCAGGGAGTTGATGTTGTAGACAGCGCTTTGCCACTCAGGAGATCGTCACCGCAAATATTCGAATTGCCTCCTTATCCCAGTCCAATGAACTCAGTCAATCACTCAAGGCAACCCAGTGAGGAGTTCCCTCCTCCGCCACCACCTATAGATTTAACTCCGCTTGAAGAGGAATTAAATAATATACAAAATAGAAATGAGTACAATGCAATTAATAATACTGTGAATGATACACAAATACCTAAAGGATCATTATTAGCACAATTACGAGAAAAACGTAATCAGATTCTTAGAAATGCTGAAGTGACGTCAAAAACGAATAAAACGGACACCATAAACACTGTTTGTGATTCATGGTTACAAGAACTTCAATCTAAACAGGCTGCTATTAAATTGAAAAGATCGAATTCACTCGAAGGCCAACTTTCTGGGCCTAATGAAATTTCACAACAAACATTAGAAAATTCTAATATCGTTAAACAAAACACCCAGATGTTTGAAAATATTGGACGAAATATTACGCCGGATGCAGAAAGGTCGCATATTGGTTTTGTAGATATGAGAGCTAATAGGGATGTTATTAATTGCGCTAATCAATCTAGTACATGCATGTATAACAGACGCACTTCATCGTCTTCAATTGATCCTAATCAGTTACAAGATGAGTATAATGATCAACAACAATCTATTAATACTGCAATATCTTCTACGTATGGAGATAATCTAAAGCCTAAGAAGAAATCTGTGTCTTTTTGCGATCACGTAGTTATAGTTTCATCTAAAGCAGAAGAGGAAGAAGATAATAATTATATTCCTAATCCAATATTGGAACGAGTGCTGAAGTCGGCAATGAATAAAAGACAAATGACGACAATGCCTCTACAGTCCGAAAAGTCTACGCTTCAAAGACAAGATTCTTTTGATAGTCAATCGTCAAGATCTACAACATTATCGACTTCTCAAAATACCTTTGTACAGGGCGACAACGATCATGCCGATTACTTACGGTTACAAGATACTTATCCTTCATATCAACCGGCACCACAACCTCACCAACAACCACTCGGTGCTCCAAAAAATGCAGGTATGTATGAAAGACTTTCTCCTCCCACTTTACCATCACACAATCTAAATGCCACAAATGCAAATCCAGTACCAACTGGAGTGCCAAAAAATTCAACGGCTTCTATTCCTTACAATCAACCACCATCAGCTTATTCAAATCACAATCTTACCCCACCGATTTATAGCCTAACGTCTTTAAATAGACTTACTCCTACCGGACATAGCTCTTATATGCCTGCGCATTTACTGAGGCCTGTTCCTAATACATATCCGCACCCACCTAATCAAACGCATCAAGCAACTCAAGCGCAGAACAGTATTAACTATCAACGAGATACAAGGTTACCACAACACTCACCGCCTTCCGCGCTTCCTAGCAATAACTATAACATAAATCGCCAAGCTAATCAGAACATACAGAGCAATACTTCGCCGTACCAAAGTGTACCCACCAATTCGCCGGCTTACCAGAGCTATCACACCCCACCGACAAGCTATTCTAGCTCCGAGTATTCTAGTCGATACCCGGTGAACAGTACAAACCACTACGGTGCGGCTATGTTATATCAGAGAGTCCCGCCACCTCACGGAGAAGCGCCTATTGATAATTATAACAGTAACTGTCAAAAATCACCAAACAGTTCCTATCATGATAACAATTCAAACCAACCTCTTGCACATGATGTTAGACATTATGCCAATTCACAGCAACAGCGAACCATGTATAATCAACATTTTAATACGGAAAATATTACCAATAATGACAATCAATATATCCAACAACAACAACAAAATATTTACAACCTCTATGAACAAACTCCACAATTAAAACCATTACAAAAGAAGTCTGTGTCATTCGAGCCGGGGACGAAAGGCGGGACCGATTCCCCTATACCACCACAAATGAATGGGAATAATAATTATTATAATGGAGAGATTCAGAAAAACACAGCATTAGGTCAAAAATCATTGTGTAATTTGTGTAGAAAAAAAATTGTTAGTTCTCCATCATTATATTGTCCAGACTGCGATTTTTATATGTCAAGGTTTAAGCCACGTTCATAGCATTTAGTTTATCGTCGTCGGTGAAAGGCGACTTTTGCTATGAAGTTACTACTTATTAAGAACTATCTAGATAGATCGATATTTAATTCAATTATTAATGTAATGTAAATTTTATAAGTTTGTAATGTAATTATAAAAAATAGACATGACTGATCTCATTCGAGAACTAGATTTAGTTATGTGATTTACTTATAGGCGAGACTTAATAGTTATTTTATAAAGCATAAGTAATGTACATAAACAAAACATAAAATGAATCATTTTTATACAACTCAATGAAATATATAAATAACATTATAATCCATAAGTCTTTCATTTTATCCTAACCCACAGAAAAATTATAAGTGCTCACCAAAATTCTATATAATTTTTTGCACAAAAAAACTAGAAACAAAATTCGTTCATGCGAATATAGGTTGTCTCTTGTTTTCAAAGGTAAGTCTGTATATAAGCAAGAATAGTAATTTACTGAATCTCTAATTAAAAGGTTTCTCTGAGATGAAGGTCCAGTAATTTTGGTGTATATTGATAAATCAATCTTTGAACTACAGAGATGCTAATGCTAACGCCGGACTTTTATTTAAAGACAGAATGGTATCATCAATCATAGGTAGATAAAGTATAGGACTACTACTTGACAACCACCAGAGGGAGACTTTGTACAAAAGTCGTCTGCTTGGGCACCTCTGTCCCATTCGTGTTTCTACCATGAAGCAGTTATGTATACATGGCTGTGTTTCGGTTTGAAGGGTGAGATATGGTAGTGAATTTACAGGGTACAGAGGAATAACACCTGAGTTCTCAGGAATGGCAACGCATGGGAGGTATCATGGGCGAAACAGTATACTCTGTTATGTCCACTGTACTACTCATGTCTATAGGCAATGGTTACCAGTTTCCATCAGGTGGACCGTCAGCTTATTTGCCATTCTAAGTTGCATAAAAAAAATAGTCCTTTCTCTATCTAAGATCAACAATAGTTGATATGAAATGAAATTTATGTTTGGGCTAGTGACGTGCCTTAATAATGTATATCGGCGGATAATTAGTATCTAGATCCGCGAATACATATACGGATCTTTCCTTTTTTACTTTATGGTACCAGAATTTTTTTTAATGGATGATTATGGAATAGTAAACTCCTCTGCACTATCGATATATGCTGGCAGAGCATCAGTGAGGGATGGTAAGTAATCCTCATCCTTACCATCTCATACTTACACAGAAAATAGGTCTGCCCCATTGTTCATCAAGAATTAACCATAATGGTTTTTGAGTAAACCGCGGGGATATCAATCTATTGCTAGCAATGAGCTCGCTAGTCTGTGTTACTATCTAATAATCTCTTCATGCAACAATAGCTAATATTTTACGTAATTAACATGTAATTTAACGGTTAACAGTCATTATCGAGCCTCTTAATTTAAGGCGAAACTTTACTTCTCCTATCATCTTCTACCGCCTGAATAATGGATCGTGTTCTGAAGAACTCTTCAGTATGATGCCTACAGCCAACTTTCATCATTGTACCGCTCGCCATCAGCAGGGAATCCATCCTCACAACAACTAGCACAGATTACTTCTGTATATTTAGAGTAGTTACGTTAGTAATATATATAAAGTAATAAATAAATGTTTACAATTACTAGAAGCGTAATTATGGAGATATTTTAAGAGTAGTAAATGACTACCTTCAAATTATAATTTCATATACGTAATGAATGTCATTAATAAGGTAAAAGACTCGTTTATATCCATTATATATATTACACACATCTGACAGCTATTGCAGCAGCGTCACTTTTAAAACATCTCTAAACCCTAACTGCGGTTGCCAACCCGCCTGCCAAACGTGGCTACTACATACACGAATAAAGCTAAGGGATATAAATAATCCTTATTCTTATTTTTTTTATGGGTGAAAATGGTATGGTGCGCCGCCTGCGCTAACGGGATACGCTGGCGGAGCACCAGTGAAGGGTGATAGATAAGAATGAAAACAGGCCAGTTAGCCCATCATTATGAATTCATCAGGAATTAACCATGATAGTTTCCAGGGAGAACCGCGAGGAGGTCGACCTGGTTGGGTATATTGCTAGTAATGGGATTCTCAGTCTCCATTACTAACAATCCCTTTCCCCCCTCCTTATTCTTATTTATTTATTTAGATTTTTAATGGTATAAAAATGGAATGGTACTTCACTTACTCCTGATTAATTCTTAATTAATCACGATGGGTTAACTGACTAAACTTCATCCTCTCCTATTATCATTCATTGATATCCCGCTTGCGCATATCAAAATCACAGGTAAGAATACCATTCCCTTTTGATTCTAAAAAAAAGCAAATTCATAGATACTTGCGTAAAAAAGCTCCAGTTTGTTTAGTTTTATCAGCCATCTGTGATTTTATCTACGGGTTCTGTTGCTAATTATACATTAGCTCTACTTGGTCTTGCTCTTTGCTCATCATTTAGTTCCAGTCAAGATCAAGATCGTAGAGTGCGTTGGCGAGCTCATACTAAAATTAAGAAAATTCTTAAATCTTAGTTATAAAAAATTTGTATAGATGTCGCTTTTAAGAAATATGTTACAAATGTTGCCATAAATTAATTTCTTGATTAAGAACTACTAATCAAGAAATTTATAAACAATATTAAAAAAACTATTAATTTAGTAAATAAATCATTGTTCATCAGAGTTTTATATAAATAAAATTAAATAAACTGTCTATGTTATTACCGAGATTCTCATTCCCCATTTCATGTAGTAAGTATATGTATATCAAATTAAATGTTATTGGTTAAGCTGTTAAAATGGAAAGAATTAATAAACAAAATTGCTTTCACATTTATAATATTAATAAGGGTAATAGGTATTACTACAATAAACTGGAGGTAGACACCTAGGTGTTGAATGTATTATAATTTAGATGTGTTACTACAAAAGGATGTTTAACATCTGTTTATATCCAAAAAAAAAGAAAATTTGTCTTATTAAAAATAAAAAGTATTTAAAATAAAAAAATTACAATAGTTTATATTAAATTACAAATAAACATTATTACATTCTATTGTTTCTGTCTATCCTAATGGGAGACAGGCGTAATACATATATATTACATTTACTAAAGAATGTTTAATCATTTGAAATTTTAATAAATATTTTTAGGTAGACAGTATTTTAAACATTTTTATATATTGAAGGAACGTCTGACTTAAATTAGAATGTACATAATATATAAAAAACATCATTTTATACTGGCTTATTTATTACAAAAATAAATATTTAAAAAAATTTAGATTATATCTAATATCTTTAAAGTCTGTATGTTATAAAAAGTAAGACAATCAAATATAATGATTGTATTACGTTATATGGTAGAATTTTTTTAGAGGTGTTATCCCTAAAAAGCCTCAAGTTGGCATTTTAGTTTGGCAGTTCTCTTGTGGTGACTACAGTTGATGGTTTAAAGTATAGTTTGTCCAAATAACATTGATATTATTAATGTCGATTTTTAGAAATAGGGATTATTTTACGTAAATATGACGGGAATTTTGCCTTCGTATCAGCGGTTTGTGAATGGAGTGCCCGTCCCGTCCATATCACGGCGGTCATTCCGTCTTCGAGAGAAATATTTGATTGTTTCTGTACTTTTGACATTCGCAATCGTGTGGTTAGGGGCATTATTTTACTTGCCAGAGTTCAAAAGTTCCAATAGTGTAAATGACAGTGTTTACAAAGTGTACAAACGAATTCAAAAAGCAGGCCCTGAACTGCTTATGCCACCTCCCCTCGCACAAAATGATGTGGGAGAATTCCCTGTGGTTGGTATCGTGCGACACGGCGAAGAAGGTGACGATCCACACATAGTAGAGGACAGAAACCGCTTACGGGCTAAAATAGAAGAAGATATGGGTATGAAAGTGCTGGAGAGGCCGCAGTTTGACCTGGCTCCCTCTGTGTCGTCGTCAAAAGGCCCAAGTAAACCTCCTGTGGATGCTATTGAGGAGCCAGCGTTTGCTAAAAAGGATAGTGATAGAAATATACTGCCTTCTGGCCATAAAGCAGAAGGTTCCAATAAATATGAGGTTGTTGCATTGGGTCCAGGTGCTGATCCTGATGTCAAAGCTAAATTGGAAACTGTGAAAGAGGTCAGTACATTACCAGGCTTATAACTTGATATAGAATAAGGTAATTAAGTTTAGGTAAATATTATAACAATAAAAAATATTTAGCATTCATGAGTGCAATAGAAGGAAAACTTGAAACAAAACTCTATGCAATGCAGCTTGATTAATGTAATGGTAGCCTAATATCCTCATTTAATGAAATTACAGTCATGAAATTTAGTATACACTTGGTATTTTGAATGGTGAAGGACATAGGCTATGTTTTATCCCAGTCAATCAATATATACTAGTCAAATGGTCAAAGTTGCAGCTAGAAGTTAATAATAATAATATTAATATGAAAGAAATGTTTATAACTCAATCATGGTTAAAAAATAGCTAATAATTTAAACCCAATATGATGGCATATATAGACTATCTATTTATCTATAATATCTTAATATATAGGACATTTCAAACATAATTTATACAAGTAAAGTTGTGTTCTATTTGTATTTATACTATGAAATCCTTTGAATAAAAAAAATAATTATTAATACTTATTCATTATTTTTAAATGATAAATAAAATAATGAAAGATTCTGTTGCATTAAATAAATTAATCTATCTTGCTTTTCATAATTATGTTAGCCTTGAAATTCAGTAGCCTTGTCTGTAAAGAAAGTAAACATATAACCAATAGTAGAAGCCTTATTTCACATAAATATTATATTGAGTTTTTTTTTCTTAACATTATTATGGATATTAAACTTTCAATTTAATAAGCATTTAATTGTAGCAGAATATTTTTGCTTCAGTCTTAGATAAAAAGGTGTAAGCTTTATAATATTAATGATATGGAATATATTTAAGAATTCTTAATATGAGAGGTTGTAATAAGCTCAATAGAGACTAAAACATTGTTTTTTAATTTTTTGTCTGTATGTTTATTCTGGCGTCAGTCATAAACTACTACACCAAATTGGATGCAGTTTTCACAGTTGTATTCTAAAGGTCTAACTTAATAACTAGTATATGTTAAAAACAGATATGTAACATTAATATGTTAGCTCTAATAAAATCAAAAACTAATAATTTTGAACTGTCATGTCATTCTCAAATGGAAGCAAAGGGAGACGAAATAAAAGCTTGACCATCAGCAACAATATATAGCATTACAGTAACAATGGTGTGCTTGCATGCCTGCTGTATGCAAGAACCTTTATTAAGAACATTGGCTATGTAAGTAACATCCAAGCACACCAATAACAGCCCCTATGCATACAAATAATAATAGCTGAGTCAAAGCTGTTGCTGTGATCGAAAACAGTCAGAACTCAACATCATCATGTTGTGGGGAAAGGGATTGTTAGTAATGGAGACTGAGAGTCCCATTGCTAGCAATATACCAAACCAGGTCGACCTCCTCGCGACTCCCCCTGGAAACTATCATGGTTAATTCCTGATGAATTCATCACGATGGGCTAACTGGCCTGTTTTCATTCTCATCTATCACCCTTCACTGGTGCTCCGCCAGCATATCCTGTTAGCACAAGCGGGGTTACCATACCATTTTCATGCATCAAAAAAAAAACATCATCATGTTAAAACCATGAGCATGTTTATGATTTTAATATATAATTTATTGCACTTGTAAAAAAGATACACAGGGGATGGTTTTAGAACTTGTTAGAAAGGATGAGCTTATTTCTGAAAGAAATCTTTTCTAGCTGACCTGGAGTGAGATAGAAAATAATTACTTAGTGAGTAAAATGCAAAATGTGACATTGTTGTTTTTTTTTTATGAAACAATGTTGCCTATTCTGTTATTTTATACAGATGGGATACCAGTGACAGATTAGAGGTGAGAATAAAGCCAATTTTTAATTATAGCCTGTTATTACCATAGCCAATCAGTTTGCTACATACAGATATTAGTTAGAATTTTCCTTATTTAAGTATTTATATTAAATAGAAATGACTAAATGAATTTTTTTCTTCTTAATTTGAAATTTCACTGTTACTGTTTAAACTAAAATACAGCCATACAAGCACAAATAATTTGCTGTAGAAACAGGAATAGGACAAGAGTACCTCTACTAAAAAATATAATTATAATGATTGAATAAATTACTGAAAACTCTTTATTTGTTCCTTTAAACAATGATACTGCTTATAAAGATAATGCATATAATTTTTGACATACAAGTTTATTAACATGCAGTTTAATAAAAAATTCAAACAATTATTTAGTAAGAAACTTGACACAAAATAATATAATTTTATATAAATAAAATACTGTAATATATTTATTTATTATTATGGAAACCCTAATTAATTATGAGTCTATTTAAAAAAATCCTTACTAAATTAATATTATAAATGTGAAAGTAAATTAATTTGTTAGCTGGTTGCTATGAAATTTGGTATACACATACTATATACGAGAGAAAAGGTTAGGCTATACTTTTTATCCCAAGGGGAAGTGATTGTTAGTAATGGGGGGGTTAGTTCCCATTGCTATTAATATTCCCTATCAGGTTGACCTTCACGTGGTTCCCCCTGGAAACTATCGTGACAAATTTATCGTTGAATTCGTCACGATGGGCCCCGCCATTCACTCTCTCACTGATGCCCCGCCAGTGTATACCGATAGCACAGGCGGGGTTACCATACCATTTTCACCTATTAAAAAAAAAACTTTTTATCCCGGTTAGTACACATATCCCAGTCACGTGAACAAAGTTGTGGGTAAAAGCTAGTATTTAAATAAAGTAGACTCTCATATTATTTGTTTGTTTATTTTGTTTTGATGATATAAAAATAACGTAACTATCAAGTTAGTATACTGTAGTTTTATTATCTCAAAATACCAAGGTGAGTGAGTCTAATCACTGTACGAGTAATTATTCCGTAATGATAATGCCGAAGCTGTAGTGCATAACTGTCTATGCCTACTTGTATTATTGTTATACCTGATTTTCATTTTTTTTTTTGATGAGTGAAAATGTTATGGTAACCCCGCCTGCGCTAACGGGATACGCTGGCGGGGCACCAGTGAAGGGTAATAAATGAGAATGAAAACAGACCAGTTAGCCATCATGATGAATTCATCAGGAATTAACCAAGATAGTTTCGAGGCAGAACCGCGAGGAGGTCGACCTGGTTGGGTATATTGCTAATAATGGGATTCTCAGTCTCAATTACTAACAATCCCTTTCCCCCCACCTGATTTACATTAAGAGAGTTTTGCCAGTAGTTGCCTCACTTGGCAAGCGGTTTAGCAACCGCAGCTAGGCTTTTAGAAATATTTTAAGAGGGACACTGCTGTCCATCCCTCGCCCTCCCTTAGTTGACTTTTACGACACCCACGGGAAAGGAAGGGGCGGTCTATTCTATGCCGGGACTACACCGCGAACATTATTGTTGCCATGAGTAAATTACTAAGTTAATAAATCGTCATAGTTGTAGAATACTGACGGATCTGACGAATATTACATATATAGATATACGACCTACGATATATATAAATCAGTATTCTACGACTATGACGAAATAAGTACATATTTAATGAAAGTTTTTTTTTTATATTGATGCCTATTATAAAATAACATATGTGTACATATTTAATATATGTAATTACTTATTCATTGTATTTTTATTCACCATAAAATACACGTGAAGTATATAATAGGTGAAACTAATGTTAGTAATCATATTGTCTGTTTGATGTTTATGTAGGAAGCATTTTTATAGAGAGAAGATATCCTTGTATGCATTAATAGACATAATAAACTATATCACATTGTGACGCATAGCACGCTAGACATGTGAAGAAAATATATTTTTTTTATCTTACTTCGAATAATGACTGTTAAACTATTCGTTGCACTAGGAAAGCCTAATAATAAGGTAAAGGTGTGAGAACTGCTATAAAAATATATTATAAATAAAAGGCATTGCTTCTTGTACATATCTTACTACAAAATGAACGATGACTATTCTCAATACGTCTTTAATTTTTTGCTGAGCTTACGCGATTTTACTCACTAATTCTGAATTAATTTTTGAAAAATCGGATTTCTTATGATTGAATTCAATATGGATTTTGTGACGATACAGCAAAATCGTGTTTGTTGCGAAGCAAACTACTTGTAGACACGATTCGCGTTCTAAATTCAAATATTTTAAATCTGTCCAGGAAACATCAGTCAATCATCGGTGTGTTATAGCATCGAAGTCGCTAGTTTTTTTCGAAGCAAAATGTGCTTCTATATATAAATTGGATGCGATCATGCGATATCGCCATACACGTATGATCCGTCTCTCCATTTTAAAGATCGAACGACAGATTGTTTCTATAACGCCACCTTGTTTGTGGAGTTTATGAATTGTTTTCGCGCATATACGTGGTTTTCACGGTGACGCATATGTATTGTGTAAGACTGCGTATAAAGTGAAATTGATTTTCTTTTAAACAGTTTAAGCTAATTACGATAGTCACAGTTCAAATTAATTTAATAGTAATGAGTTTAAATCACTATTTTAATCACACAGTTTATTAAAAAAAAAAGACGATGTATATTGCCAATGAAATTTTCTTATCGTAAATCGATTCCATGTTTAAATATAGTATACAGATATGTTATTTTATAATAGGCATCAATATATGATGCCTATTATAAAATAACATATGTGTACATATTTAATATATGTAATTACTTATTCATTGTATTTTTATTCACCATAAAATACACGTGAAGTATATAATAGGTGAAACTAATGTTAGTAATCATATTGTCTGTTTGATGTTTATGTAGGAAGCATTTTTATAGAGAGAAGATATCCTTGTATGCATTAATAGACATAATAAACTATATCACATTGTGACGCATAGCACGCTAGACATGTGAAGAAAATATATTTTTTTTATCTTACTTCGAATAATGACTGTTAAACTATTCGTTGCACTAGGAAAGCCTAATAATAAGGTAAAGGTGTGAGAACTGCTATAAAAATATATTATAAATAAAAGGCATTGC